AACTCTATTTAAGGACTGAATCAGGATCTCCATCCCAGCCAGTCTACAGTATTTTTGTGGAAATGTGTGAATGCCCTTTTCTAGTTGTTTAGAAAATGGTGTATCAAATTTTTAAGAGGCGTTGGAGCAATGCTGGGGAGCAGCATTTTATTGTCAGCCCCAGATCGTAAGATGATTCCAAACTAGAAGAGTAGCTATATGTTCCTTTTCAGCAAGGATGGAAAACAAAACAGCATTGTTCTCACAGCTCCTCTCTTTTAGATTTTGATTTCTAGTTTATGCTTGTCTCATGCCCCTATGATACTTTCTGTATGGTATTTTCTGTATGTTAGTAAACTTCCAGGTTCTTGTTTTTATTTAAATGAAGGGAACATGTAGTTGTCAGGTCTGCAGCTGCTAAGGTATGATACTGATGTAAAAATCAAAAAGGGAAGGTGTTTGGTTGTAGGAATTAGGTAGAGGGCTGGATAACTGCTCTTCTGCAGCCTCCATTAAGATGAATAAATATGAACAGTTCGTAAGGACTAAAGATACCAGCAAAAAGACTTGTGTTCTTCCAGAGCCTCCTGCTTTTGTCACAGGCACAGAAAGGGTCCCAATCTGCATTTTTTTTTTTTTTTTAAAGGGAGAGATGTGTTACAAAGATGTCTGAGTCTTCTAGACAGCCAGACGTTTGTTTACAAAAAATTAGGAGAAGCCGTATACCTAGAAGGCTTGCAACAGCGTTTTAACCATCGCTTGAAGAGCAATCTGTTCAAAGCTTGTCTGGCGAGTACTTTTAGCTCCGCTCCGCTGCGAAAAGCCGCTTAGGGCAGCTTGGCGTTTGTTAGCCTGCCCTGAGCCCTGCCGCTCCGGCGTTCCCAGCGGCGCCGGCACCGCTCCGCGGGAAGAAGCCGGTCTCCCTTCGTGCCGGCCGCGTCCCCCTCAGCCCTCACGGCTTTCGGGTCGCGTGGGCGAGCGGCGCGCAGGGAAGAGGCCGCCCGCGGCCGGCGGGCGCTCGCGCTGCGTCAGCCGCGCTCCACGCCCCGCCGTCAGCTGACCGGCCTCGCGCGGCCGCAGCGCCAGCGCAGCAGCGCCGGCGGGCGGCGGGGGAGGCCCGCGTCTCCCCTCAGCGGCTGTGGGTCGGTTCTCCTGCGGCTCCCCCCTTGGTATGCGTAATTGATAGCCACAGCTGGAGGGGAGATGGCTTGCGGAGAGATGGACAGTCAGCCGAGCAGCTGGAAGGATAAGGGTATTTGCTCTTTCACCTTTTTTTCCTTCTTCTTTTTTTTTTTTTTTTTTTTTTTTTAAAAAAAAAAAGCTAAAGATGCGCGTTGTTTTTAGCAGATGGTATTTGTAGCATGTATTTGATTGTGAAATGTGTCTGAAGGTGTAAGATCTGTTTGTACTGTGAGCAAAGCTGTAGGTTAAAATGGGTAAAGATGAGCAATGCAGAGGAATAAATTATTTATGTAGGTGAAATAGCTTGTGTGACACTGCAGATCTTTTTCAGTCCTACAGAGCGTATTAAAAACCAGCTTGTTTTGGTATGCACTGCACAAATACCAGCATAATCCGAATTCAGTTGATGTTCATTTCAGATTCCTAGCTTATTAATAATTTAACAATACTAACCATTAACTAGAAAGAATATAGTGCCTGTAGTTCATGTAGTTTAATAATTTTATGAGGAGAAATCGCATGCAGACTGCAGCAGGGTGATGTGGTGGTTGTTGGTTTGGTTTTTTTTGGTTTTTTTTTTTTTTTTTTTTTTTTCCTGTTTGGCATAGTATGTTTAGAATCTACCCTTAATCACGTTTGCTTTGGATTTTTCATAATGCTGTTGGATTCTAGGTAAAACGGTCTGATTTTTTTTTTTTTTTTTTTTTTTTTTCAGAATTTACAGCCATAGTATCAAATAGTTTTAGGTAAATAAGTAGCTAACCTTAAATTAGTGTGGTTCTGACCTTTGTTCCTGTAACCACCAATGGGAGATCACCAGTGTAAATCTCTGTGGATCATTATATTAGTGCTCAGTGTGTAAGAGTTTAAGACTTATTTGAATGTGTAATCTTCAAACTTCTATCAACAAGACAAGCTTTAAAAATTTTTATCATCTCTGGATTCTTAAATATCTTCTTAAAGGGCCCTGTCATACTTTGTACTTGTGAAGTTTTAATCTTTTTTTTTATAACCATTGTTCAAAATTTATGTTTTTCCAGTTGGACAAAATTACCAGTTGTCTAGAATCCATAGAATGCTCTATCAGAACCTAAATACATAGCAGAAAAATCCTTGCAGGGGAAAAAAAAAAATCTTTGCCCCTGCAAAACAAGTCTCTAAAAGGTCTAATCTTTCATTTAAGGGGCTGTAAAGAATTAGGAAAAAAATATTCTGCAGTGTTTATTAATATGTTCTTGGTGTGTAACTAGTTTAAATGTTCATCATTCCATACATTAGGCCTGCAATTCTTGGGGTTGGAAAAAAAAGGAAAAGAGGGTGAGATCAGAAGGTTTTTGTAAAAATCAAAAGGCAAGTTACCTTTGGGTACTCAGGACCAGTTCTCAGGTGTTCTTTTACAACCTGACAAGCAGGGTTCGTGGTGGTCTGTCCCTCACCGCAACTGAAAGCAGACGTTTCTGAGCCCAGATTCTGAGGCCTTGAAAATAATAGCATCTGTCTTTGTTTGGAGTGAATGAATTGCCCACCATGAGCATGCGGGTATGGCACACTTGGGGAGAATCCGCTAACCAGGGCAAGCCATGCCTGCCCTTACAGCTGCGTGGAGGCCAGCACCGCGGGCTCTGTGCACTTGGCTTCTTTGCAAAACGTGGACCTGGCTAGCCTGTAACAGAACTGTCATCAAATGAGCAAAGCAAACCCGAACCTGTCTTGCGTGCCTGTTTTGTGCTGGTAAAACTGCTTCAAGCAGTGTTTTAAATTCTTCTTTCTCCCCCACCCCCCCCAGCTTTGTTTTTACATAGTGACATCCCCTTAGGTGGAGGAAGCTGGGTTGGTGCCTATTTCTCCTTCTGTGGAAGTCCCTATTGCCTTGAGAATTAAATATAATCTAACTTGTAGACATAAGGTTTAAAAGAAAATGGAAGCAAAGCAAGAAGAAGGTTTTCTGAGGAAGCAGAAGAGTCTGGTTCCTCTCCTTTTGCAACTGTTCTTGAAGCCTGGTTTAGCGTTGTTTCTGGTAGCCTTTGTTTATAATGAGAGGAAGGTGCCTTGTTTGATGTGTTCTTCTTCCGTTAAGTTAGGCTGTGGTGGCATGGAAAATGATGGGTAAAGTTCAGGGAGTGATTGCACTAATCATCTTGCTGCAAAATAAATATAGAAGCAAATATTGCAACATGCTTCTTTCCATGCTAAAAAAAAAAAACCTTAAGAAAAAATGAAGAACAAATCTAAAACCAGAAAAGAACCAAAAGTATAGTTCATAGCTTGACTTTCCAACTAAAGCACTACTTCCTAATTAATATATTCCTAAATTTAGTTTTGATGTGCTACAGCCACAGTAGTTGACCAGTGAAAGTGGTACAAACTGTGGTATTGATTAATGCCCGTGGTAATGATCATCTAGGTAGGTAGGATGAAATAGGTTTACCCTGGGGATAGCATGATTTTTATTTTCAGCACTTTTAAAGACAGCCCCCCCCCTTCAGCGTGATTGGTACTAAAATGTAACATTTCTTGAATTCTGGATGATTTCAATTAATTGTCTGGTTTTAATGGCTGAATAGTGCTAATGGTTGGATGAACACCACAGCTATACTCTTAGGCTATCCCAGGATATTTTTTTTTCTTTTTTTTTTTTAATTAATGTGCTGAAAATCTATCTGAGTTCTGGTTCAAATTAGTTAAATGGTAGAAAAGGTTGCACAGGCTTTTGCAGCCCTTGATCTTTCTAAGAGCAATCAGGGGCTTTAGAATTATTTTCCCAGTTTGTACATTATGCGTGGGTATATGATTAAGTAGAAAAGAAAGAAAAGTGCTGCTTTGGCTCGTTAGTAATTGTTAGATAGTATTTGCATTTTGGGAGGACAATCTGGTAGTGTCAGTCTTTGTTTTCATTCTAGCATGTACTTTTTCTTGCTAGGGATTGTGGGGCCAATGTGCCAGGCCTGACCTGCGTGTGATGCACCCTTGTTTTCTGGCCTTGGGGATGCAGTTAGGCAAGCCTGCCGGTCCCACTGGACGTGCTGCTCCTTTGTAACATCTGTCCCTAGGACAGGGAAAGCTCTGTTGGTTCAACTCAGCTCCACGAGTTTGGCACCACGTGCGGTCACGCTATAACTGCCCAGTTTCACCAGTCTGGGCTTGTTTTATTGTTACTGTTGTTACTGACTTGCCACAAAGGCAGTCAAAGACCAAACTGGCTTCCAACATGTGGGATCAGGGTAAAAGGAACCTTGAGTTTTGGGGCCCAATCTGTGACTGCTCCTGCTTAGGATGTCATTTTAAATGGCCATTCAGATGTAGGAAATCTTGAAAATTTCCAACCCCGGTCTACTAACGGTGTCTGTGTTTGGCAGACTTTGAGCATTTGATGCCATGGTGGCTTCTCCTTGGGGCTGGTCTGTCTCCAGCTTGGCCAGGCTTGGCAAGGGAAAGGGCGGGGTCTGAGCTTGCCTGTTAGATGCTCTGTGTAAAAGGTCAGTGGAAACCCTTACAGTCGCTGTCATGTGTAAATATGAAATTCATTTAGCGTAACTGGAAAATGCTCTTCATTGCCGTTTAGAGAGGCAATTTGCCTGCTTGCCGTCGTGTACTCATTTTTGCGAGTCTGGAGTTCATTTTATTCATAGCAGCCTGTACGCTGCTATGGTGACAGTTGTCACTGTGCACTTCAGATGCATTTGAAAGCTGCCCATTCTCAATGTTTCTGTTACATTTCTTTATTAGTACAACACTTGCTGTTCTTAAATTGATCCAGAAAAGGATCTTGTGTTTTTTTTCTTTTTTTTTTTTACACTATTTTTACTATTATTTGAAGAATATAAAGAATTTCTACTTACCTTTCAGATTATAGAAGGGTTCTAGTGTAATGTCCGTTGTTCATACAATGTTTGTAAGTCGCACACTGTTTGCGTTTTTTTTTTTACTCTTCCTTCTCCTTTTACACAAACAGCCTTTCTTTTGGCGCTGAAACCCTTTTTTTGTTTGTTTCCAAATACTGGATAGAGAGTAGTTGTTCATTGTGGACGAGCCTCTCCTCGCTCCGCAGCTGCATTCCAAGGATTTAGCGGCGAGGCAGCCATTGGCGGGGGCCGGCGAGATTTCGGCTGGCTGGCGGCGAGGCGCAGGCGGTTGCGTATATCTGCCGACCTCCGAGTGCCCCAGCAGGAAGTGAAAAAGCTCTGGGTAGTCAGCTGTGCAAGATCTGGGTGCATGCAGGCACACTCAAGATGGATGCCAAAATGGGTTAGTCCCTTTTTCTTGGTTTTCTTTCAGTAGATGTGAATTAAACGCGCTTGTAGAGCTGGAGGCTTTTAATTTCTCTTTCTAAAAAAAGAGAGGGTTACTAGGTTCAGGCGGTTTTTGGTGTTTTTTTTTTTTTTTTAAAGAGGATTATCAGGTTAAATATATTGCACCACTTGTTTTTGTCATCAAAAACCAGTATGAATTGTTCAGTTTTAAGTGAAATGTCTGTGAAAGAAAGAAGAGAGTCCAGAAGAAAAATACAGTGATAAACCTATCAAGGCACTTGCTTTAAAAGCAAAATGTAATTGGATGAGTTCTGCATGTAAGGCACGGATGCTAGCTGTACTATTTTTAGAAGTGCCAAGTGACAGTTCGTGCTTACCAAATGTAGGCAGCTGTTCTTGCTTTAGAATAGGCCTGGAATACTTGCATTAAATGCATGAGATTAGTTCATATCGTATAAAATAAAGCTTGAAACAGTTTCCATGAGGAAAGATACTGCTTGGCAGGGCTGTTCCTGAGGATTGTTTTTTGTTTTCCTGATTTTTTTAAATCTGCCATGAGTATCTTGTGTATCAATTAAAGATAGAAATCTGCTTATAGTAATGCTTTTAATCTTTTCTGTTACTTTAGAAAGAAATGCAAATACCTATTTCTGATCAGTTGGAGAATATAAACCAATTTCATCATATCAGTTTTTCAGTGACTTATAACACCAAATTTCCCTTTGAGGAATTTGCAGTGAAACCAGATATGTATGTCATTAAGCTGAGGCAGGTTTGGTAGTTCTCCAAATGTCGTGGAGACAGAATGAGGAAAAAATGCTTTATGTGCAGCTTAACTCTGGTCTGGGAGGTCCTAGCTTGTGGATTTTTCTTAATGATTACTGAGAACAAAAGACATGAAGATGTTACCACCATTTGGCTTTAATTCCTGGAATTTACCTTTGTTTCTTGTATTTTAGAAACAGTAATACAGATGAATTACTGTCTTTACAGTCCTTTTAACTGGGTGTGGGTATAATGTGTTACTGCTTGTAGTAAGTGATTTCCCATGGAGGAGTTAAGAGCCCGCTATCCATGGAGACGCTTTAAAGCTGTGTTACAGAGGAGGGAGTATCTCATTTACCGATCTAATGCTATCTGCAAGCGGAGCGGAGGAGGGCTCATACTTCGTGTGTCACATGATACGGGAGCAGCACCCAAATTTGAATGTATGGATGCTCAAATTGCAGCATTTAAAAATAAAGATTGTTTCAGTATTTGCAAATGCTCAGAAAAAAATGTTGTTTCAAAGATTTCTTGTATTATTTAGGAGCACAAAATCCACCAACTATTTTGGGCAAGACTGGTTTTGAAAATCTCATCCAGGTGTTATAGATACTTGCAGCTCAATTTAGGTTTACAGTTTACAGTGGATTTTAGGTCAAGCTCACAGGTTTTTTTGTAAGCTCTTTTTACATGCTAAACTTGCTTAAAGTAAGATGTACAGAGACGCTAATAGACACTTCTGTGATTAGTAGCAAAGCCAAATAAACCAAAGAAAATGTTGTTAAATTTAGGGATTATGGCCCATACAGAAGGAATTCTACAATGATTTGATTTTTTTTTTTTAATCTTTACAAATACTTTTAAAAGTTGCTTAGAGCTTCATCTGTTTGACAGGGAACATAGAAGTGCAGCTCTGTAACATGAAGAGACCCGGCAAAATAACAGGTCATCAGGGTGCGTGGATAGGTTGGGCTGCAATTTGATGAGGACTTTAGCTTGGTGCTGTGCTGGGAGCAGGAGTGTCACCTCCTTCAGTTGGCTGCTCTATCTCTCACCCCATATGTTTGTGGAGTCACATGGTGAACCACAACCAGGTTCTGATCTGGCTGCCTGCTTAGTTTTTGTTCTTTTTTTTCTTCTTTTTTTTTTTTTTTTTTTTTTTTTTTTTGGTGCAGTAGTTGTCAGCAGCGTACAGAAAACCAGGCTGGATCTGCATGTGGCCATGTGAAAGGAGTGGAATTGAGTGGTGGTGGAGTGAGGCTGTTTCTTTGCACAGCAGTTTTGGTTGGTGATAAATGTAAGATGTTCATGCAACCTGGTTCTGCCTGCAGAACTTCTGGAAATTTCTACTGATATGTGCGTTAAATATTTGGATAAAATATTCTGGGTTGTGAGAATGGCAACTTTGAGTTTCTGACCAGGATTCTCACCTTCCCAGCACCTGCTGCTCAGTACGGTTTCCCTGAAAATACCTAGGAAAGAACTTCAGCTTCTGAAACGCTGTGAAATTGCACCATAGCCAATTTCATGTTGTACCTACAAAGAGATTATGCAGAATGTGCCCTACAGAGGCTACTAAGTATTTAGTGCTGGTGCATTACCACGTTTTCATCCTGTAAGAAATAGCAGTTAAATTTTCTTTATTTTTCTTTTACAGTCATTCAGAGTAAGAATCTCTTCTGAATTGTGATATTTTGTGATTAATTGTGATTTTACAATTAATTTCGGTGATGTTTAGGATGAGATAGGATTACTAAATTTGTGGTGTAATAGCAATAATTTTTCTATAATTTATATTGAATTCATTATCTAATACATTATTGCTATTAACAAGCAGTTTTGATGCAGAAGAGGAATTTGTTCCTTTGAAAACTTAATAAGCTGTGAAAGTAGAAATCATGAAGAGTGAGTTTTATTGTGTGTTTCACCAGGAAGTATAAAACTAGATTAGATGTACTTGGGAATGGAGACTGATGCTTGCCAGTTGCAACAGCACCTCAAAACAAACAAATCTGCAATGGATATTTTTAGCCGTTACCTATGACTTGTGCAAGGGTGTAGTTGAAACAATGATGTGAAAAATGACATAATATTGTGCTCTCTCATGTGGGTTGCTTAACGAAAAAACAAACTTGGTTTACAAATGAGGTATTTTGCATTGGAGCACAGTAGCTGTCACCCATATTGAACAGCATAAACTTCGATGGGAATGTCTTCAGTCAAAAGGAAACAAAATGAACTGTTAATGAGTCTTGAGCAGTGCCTTTGCCTCTATCAGACTTGCAAACATAGAATGGTTTAGGGACCTGTTAGTGTCTTGTCACTTGTCCCAGCAGGGAATTAGAATCCATCTCTTCAGTGACTGACCTCCACAAAGTGCACAAAAATCAAATGAAATGAAGCACAAACTGCTGTGGCTCTGGTGCAGAACGCAGCACCACGGTTGAAGAGATTAATTCTGACATTGTTTAAGGGCAGAATTGTTCTTAAATTTTAGCAATTACATTTGAGGTAATCCCAGTAACAATAATCCCAGTAATCTGAAATCCAATGCAGAGTCAGTGATAAAATAACCTATTTCTAATGGTAATTTCAGCTCCGGTTTGTCAGTGAAATCGCAAGTTCTGTTCTTCATGACTGTTTCAGCAGTCAAGTGAATCATGTTTTGCTGTTATTTTATGGATGCGAAAGGTATCATGTTCTAATTTCTTACCTTTTTTTAAATTTTAGTTGTTGACCTCCTTTACTGGCGAGACATTAAGAAGACAGGAGTGGTGTTTGGTGCCAGCTTGTTCCTGCTGCTTTCATTAACAGTGTTCAGCATCGTGAGTGTGACAGCTTACATTGCCTTGGCCCTGCTTTCTGTGACCATCAGCTTTAGGATATACAAGGGAGTTATCCAGGCAATCCAAAAGTCTGATGAAGGCCACCCATTTAGGTGAGATTTTTCTTTTAATTAAGAAAAAGTATGCGGTTTTGGGATACAGCAGGATCGATGCTGTTAGAAGCAGTAGATGACATTTGCTGTAATATGTTGCAAAATAATGCAAATAGTCCCTGTACTGACAAATCTGTTACGCAGCCTATGACTGTTGCTCTTTCAGTTCTCCTCAGTAGACATACAGTGGTAAAGAAAATGAACTGAGCACTTGATACAGGGGATTTCCCTGGGGAATTCTAGAGTATCTTAAGTTACATTTTAAAAAAATTAAATACTTCACTCTAATGGAGTAGGACGTGCATTTTTAGAATGGTATAGTCTTCAGAATGTGAACCAGGCAGATGATTTACAAAATTTGAAGAATATCCTGGAGATGCAGGGCTTGCAATGCAATATATTTAGCAAAATTAAAAATAAATGTAGCAGGGGATACTTTTATCTTTTTGGAACGTTTGTTTTTTTTTTTTTTTTTAAATACTCTTAAAATTTGTGGTTTAGTATGTAGCATCATAGCTGTGCTCTCCACACATGAGGCTGCCTTGTCGTCAGCAGAATCTAGGTTCATTTGCAGCCTGTCCAGATCAGAAATCCATAAACTTGGATTCTGAATACTAAGACTTGAGGAGCTGTATCATTAAATTAGGTTCTCAAAGAGGACCTGTGAGCTCTTTGCCTCAAGTGATGAGCTAAGTCCTTGGGGCGTACCATGTGTGCATTTCCCTGTTGTGTGGGAATGCGGTATCCATGGTATTCATCCTTTCCTGTGTGGAGCACAGTGATGCCCATTGTTACAAAGCTGCATTGTAAGAGAAGTAAGAACTTATTCCTGTGTTAGAGTGCATGCTTCCATGCCAGCCCTGTCCTCCACTGCTCCGACTTGCTTCTCCTTTTTATTAACCAATGAAATGTTTCAATCTCAGCTTCCCTTGCACCTTTAAGAAACTCCTGCTTGCCCTCCTATTTACAGCTCTCTTACTAATTTTGTAGTGTTTCCAAGTATTCTCATTGTCTTGCTCTTATCTTCAGCAAGAAGTAAAATGTTTTCTTGGG